GACTTTAAAGAAGGGGCCCCTTTTAAATGTGCCCATCATTCGTATTTTATATAATTATGTAATATGTGTATATATATATATTACATGTATCTATATATGTATGTACATTCTAGATCATATTACGTACATCATAAAATCTCTCTATCTATATATAATAATAATGATAATAATAATCAAATAAAATGTAATAAAACAACATATCACATAATATGATATAATGTAATGTAACATAATATGATATGATATGATATGATATTATATAGGGTAATTATAATTAAGCTCATATACTATAATAACATATAATATAATGCACCATGACATGATGAAATCAAAATATAATATAATACAATTTTATAGATCAGTACAATATATTATGCTTCGTATGTCATATATATATATATACATACATGCATATACATATATACATATATGCATAGATATACAACATGCTTTGTTTATTGCGAGTACGTACTGATATATATATATATATATATTATATTATATTATATTATATTATATTATATTATATTATATTATATTATATTATATTATATTATATTATGTTATATACATATACATCTATGTACATCATGTATCTACATAGATACATACATACATATATATATATATATATATATATTTCTCTCTCTCATCCACCTGGAAGTGCTGGTTCTGCTTGCAACACTTCTCGCCTTGGAGTATCTGGTCCTGTCGGGTCTGCAGGGTTTATAAGGTTTAGGGATTTGTTTAGGGCTTAGGGTTGGTTTAGGATACTCCTTGTGATGTTCCCCCTTAGTACCCCCTATGATAATCCCATTTCAGGAGCTACAAGGGGGAACATCCCAAGCTGTTGGTTTTATGGAAGGGAAGCGGCCACGAGCCAGGGATTAGGGATTGGAAGCCTAGGGTTTAAGGTTCAGGGTCTGGGATTAGGGTTTAGGGTCAGGGTTTAGGGTTTAGGTTTGTTGTTGTGGTGCAACTTTTCATCATGTCGGATCAGAACACTCGGCATAAAAAGACTTCTTCGCAAGATGTTTGCCAGCCTTTCCTCATCACCATGCTTCGACTCGGTCTTCTGCATTGCGGCGACGAAGTCCTTGGCATACCTCGGTATGGGAGCACAGCATAGTTTATCCACATGACATGGGTGGTTGTCTGTCAAAATTATGATCCCTTTTGGGGTACCCTAAATATTAGGTGCCGTACTGCAATAGGGCTCCAAAAAGGGACCAAACTTTGAGAACCACCCACATAGGTTTTTCTTACTAGCGCCGCCAAAACAGCACCCCGCATATAAACCCACGCCGTGCTTGCGCAGAGCGAAGACTTCGGCTGAGAAGGTCAGGCCGTACCTAGTCCCGCATATATTCGAACGTTTACCTGCGGCGGCTGCCGCAAACCCACTTTGGCACCGTTTTGGTAACGCTTAAACGGGATTGCGCGTCGTGATCCTCGGGTCGTCGTTCTTGGACGATCGTGTCTACTTAGTTTACCAGAAGGCATGCTTCTACCCATCCTTCCAAGAGACATCCTTAGACCCTACACCCTCAACCCTAAGGCCCCTCAAGCCCCGAGTAGTCCTTGCCTGTCCGGAAGCGACAGCAGCAGCTGCATGACCATCGTGACTGTAACAGGCGTGCATGTGACTTCAGCTTTTTTTGCCACCGAAACCCCTACATTACGCTCACCAATTGCGGTGATGGGAAAACCCTGTTGCGAAGAGCTCTAATCACCGGGCATCATTTTATAGCTGACAGCAATCCTGTTGCAGGGTTCAGGGTTCAGGGTTTAGGGTGATTGAAGGCGATTCTGCATCTACGTGCACCCCCAGATGCTCGCAGAACATGGTGGAACATCCCCTCGAGTCTTTGACGCACTCCACGATGTCCTTAGGCTTTCAAGCACAAGGGTTCATGGCTTCGCCTGGCTGACCAGTCTTCAGGTCGATTTAGGGTTTAGGGTTTAGGGTTTAGAGTTTAGGGTTTAGAGTTTAGGGTTTAGGGTTCATGTTGCAAGTATGACAAGCCACACTGCGGAACTTTACTCTCCTTGAGGCCTCCTAAGTTGGTTCGCGGGTGCTTGCCTCACATCCGGGGCATTTCGTCAGTTGTCCTTCCCCCTCCCCCCCCCCCCCCCAGGATGAAGACCACCCCAAAACCCCAAAGGGTTTTCAGTATGGGGAGGGGGGGGGGGGGGGGGCGGGATTCTTATCGAATGCCCGAACAAGCAAAGCCCAGTAACCCCCCTAGTTCGGTAGAGGTTTTAATAGGGGCAGGTACGGGATCGTGTTTTGGGGTCAGGGTTTCCAAGCATTCCGGGTGTTTTAATGTTCGGGGAAAAGACTTCACGAAGCGCTGGAGTCACCGCTTGCCAAACTACAGTCCAATGCTGGCGGTCCCTAAATCCTTTTTTGCACCCGTAAACCCGTAAACCCTAAACCCTAAACCGTAAACCCTAAACCCTAAACCCTAAACGCTAAACCCTAAACCCTAAACCCTAAATCCGGTTTTGCATTCCAGCATCTTGACCCTGCAGCGAGAAGGTCTCCGCAAATGAGGTCGGCATCAGCGTGCTCCTGGGCTCCGGGGGCGAAGTTTAGGGTTTAGGGTTTGGGGTTTAGGGTTTAGGGCTAACTGATGGGGACAGGGTTTTGAGTTTATAGGATTTAGGGTTCAGGGGTTTAGGGTCTCGCCTTTTCGTGATGTTTTTGGACCACTTGACACATCAGCCGGCTAACTGTTCAATGCAGCATGTGCACTTTTGCACAAGACACAAGACGCAAATGCCGCCTTCCCAGCGCTCGCAAAGTCTGTAAAAGGGTTCAGTTCAAGACTGGGCACTAAAGATTGAAGATTCCTGCTGTACATTCCGGCATGTTTATCCACAATTCTGCCGGATGCAAGCAGGCTGGGAGGGGATATGCTTTCGAAGCAAGCATGCACTGCCTCAAACCTAAGAGCAAGCAGGGGCGTGGGGGGGGGTGGGCGGGGGCACCATCCGCACCGTTTCGCTCGCATGTTTAGAAAGGATTCATATGCTTTGTAATTAGCAAGCATTGCACGGCTTAAATCTAGGTCCTGAACGAAGCGGGGGTTGGGGGGCGCAGTCCTTTCATTTGCAAAAACACACTGCTCGCATGATGGAGTTTGGAAAGGATCCATATGGGATTCCTGAAAAGGCAAGGAAGAATAGCTCCATCAGTATAGGTTTTTGGGATTCCTGAGAAGGCAAGTAAGAAGTAACTCAATCAGTATAGGTTTTTGGATTTCCTCCCTATGCCCAAGTAAAGCAACACGCGGACTACTCTGAGCAGAGGCGCTGATGGATGGCCTGCGCAGCGAACAAGCTGAGCTCGCCAAACCAATGACAATGGGCCCCCTCCAAAAACTCCTGGCAAAGCACTTGCAGGGTTTAGGGCTTAGGGGTTTAGGGCTTAGGGTATGCCAGCAACTGCTACGTTCAGATTGTCTTCTGCCCGTGACGATATATCTAGCCGAAAGCCACCATCCCTAAACCCTAAACCCTAGACCCTAAACCCCAAACCCTAAACAGCCCCCAAACTCCGATGTGAAGCACCGCCCTTTTGGTTGCCGGAACGCTAACCTTAAACCCCCGGTAGCTTCCAAAAACGATGGCCCCCCAGATGAGGACTTCCAACAAGTGAACCCCCAAGTTTGGGAAACCAGGACGTGGAGCTGCCAAGCAGCAACCTCCATACTGAGATCCGCTGTGTAGTTGTAGTTGCCTCGGTCGACACTGGCGGTAAACCCTAAACTTATGAACCCTAAACCCTAAAACCCTAAACCCTAAACCCCCAAACCCCCAAACCCTAAACCCTAAACCCTATCTTTTTTCGTCTTTTTCTTCATCCAGGCCTCTTACAGATTGCTGGGTCTGGAAACTGGTGATTCCTAAACTCCGAAACCCGAAAGACCGCTCTTGAACTGAACCCTTACACGCAGATCGGCATCAGAACTATCCCTCCACACTACCCTTTTTTGAGCAGGGGGGGAAGCGGGGGGGGGGGGGGGGGGGGCCATGGAAACAAGCCTCGGAGGTCCTCAAAGAAGAGGCACGTAAAGAGCTGTGAGCAGCAGCACCAAGCCCTAAACTCTAGACCCTGAACCCTTTTAGAGCTCGAAACCCTAAACCCTAAACCCTAGGAAAAAGGAAGCCACAGAACCTATGCTGGAGGGCTTTGGGGTCAACCCGGCCTGTCGATGTCAAGTGGAGGCTCGTGCAATACGATCCGCTCAAAAACACGTGCTCGCCCTTTTCGAAGAAGTTCTTCCTGAGCCCGCAACAGAACTTGAAGGTTTATGGGTAGTTATAAGTGGGGTTGTAAGTAGGGTAACTATATTTTTAACTGGTTGTAGCTTCCTTTGGGTACTTATGACCCCCGACTACCCATGAACCTCCAAGAAGAGCTTGCAGAGAACACTTGAGGACCTGGCTACAGCGCGCATACTAGAAGCACTCATGAATGTCTCACGACTTGCTTAACCCCTTACCAATACAGTCAGGTGTCTTCAGGGCCGCACAAAGCGTCCCAAACACTTCCGGGTAGCACTCCTCACGCACGGTTGTCTGTGGCCCGATGCACAGCGTTCGGGAAGCAAGCAGTCCCCAAACCCCCCAAACCCACACCACAACCTGCCTGGGCCAGCGCAAAGATGGGAATTTTGCTCAAATAGTCCTTAGAGGCATTTGACTGGACCGTGACAAACTTGGGAGTGCCGACTCCTCATCGTCAGCCGAAACGAAACAAACATCTCTGAGGATGTTCCCCCTTATACGAACAGTCCTTAACAGGGACTATGGCACCCCCGATGGGAATCCCTATTAAGGACTGTTAGTATAAGGGGGAACATCCCAGGAGGGTACCCTCAAACCTAAACCCTAAACCCTTCTGAATTCATGAAAAGGATCAGCGCGCTGGCTAACATAAAGCTCCAGCTGCAGAGTCGGCGAGATCAGGGAAGCATCCTTTCACTGAACATGCCACACAATGTTTAGGGTTTAAGGATGTTCCCCCTTGGACAGCTCCTTCAATTAGGGATTACAAAAAGGGGGGGACTATAATCCCTATTCAGGAGCTGTTAGCATAAGGGGGAAACTTCCCAATGCACATGTCATGTCCAGTTTCTCGCTCTCTCTCTCTCTCTCTCTCTTCTCCCCAGACCCCTGGGAGGATCCAAAAAATAGAACCCCCAAATAGTACCCTGTACTACTATTAGGAACCCTAAACCCTAAACCCTAAACCCTTAAGGGGATCTACTTTTTAGATCCTCGGAGCGGTCTGCATGTGTGTGTGCGTGTGACGCGCGAGCCGCGGCGGTGCTCTGACTTGAGATCAGCTCGTCCAAGGCTCCAAGGTGTTGGTGGAAAACTTCCTCAGGCTCTGGGTTTAGGGTTTAGGGTTTAGGGTTTAGGGTTTAGGGTTTAGGGTTTAGGGTTTAGGGTTTAGGGTTTAGGGTTTAGGGTTTAGGGTTTAGGGTTTAGGGTTTAGGGTTTAGGGTTTAGGGTTTAGGGTTTAGGGTTCAGCATCTCAAGTTCGAGCATTTACTGGGCCAGCAGTGTGTGTAGGCAACGGAACAAAACCCACCCGCCCAAAGAATCCCATAACATTACGAAAATACAAAGCTTATTAATTTCTTATTCGTGCTGAACCATGGAGGGTTAGAGAGGTCAGAATTTCAGGGGTCGGAGGGGGTCGAAATGGATCAAATTCTCCAATTCGTGCCGAACAATGGCGGGTCAAAGGGGTCGGAGGGTCAAGTTGGATCAAATTCTTCAATTCGTGCTGAATAATGGGGGGTCAAAGGGGTCGGAGGGGCCAAAATGGGTCAAATTCTTCAATTCGTGCCGAAGAATGGGGGGTCAAAGGGGTCGGAGCCGAAATGGGTCAAACTCTCCAATTCGTGCCGAACAATGGGGGCTCAAAGGGGTCGGAGGGGCCGAAATGGATCAAATTCTCCAATTCGTGTGAACAATGGGGGGTCAAAGGCGTCGGAGGGGCCAAAATGGGTCAAATTCTCCAATTCGTGCTGAACAATGGGGGGGGGGGGGGGGGGTTAAAAAACAAAAAACAGACCAAATTCTACAATTGGTGTTTAACATTTAGGGTTATATGGTAGAGAGGTCTAGGGTTTAGGGTTTTGGGTTTTGGGTTTAAGGTTTAGGGTTTGGGGTTTAGGGTTTAAGGTTTAGAGTTTGGGGTTTAGGGTGTAAGGTGTAGGGTTTAGGGTTTAGGGTTTGGATTCAGGGTTCACATACCCCAGATACTGACAAGGGAGACATGGGCCCACACTGGCTGCACGTCGACACAGCTCCTGCGGAGCAAACTCCAGCGAGCAGACATGCAGGTAGGGCTCTCTAGCTTGTAGTCGACGAATCGCATGATGCGGGTGACAAGCTCGTACCTTGGCAGCGAGGCAACGACAAAAACACAAAGCAAAACCTACTGCTCGAGGTCTTTATGTTGATAGCGAACGCCGTCAGACCACAAACGCCTCTCGACCTCTGCGCACATGCTCTGTGGCCTGCTACTAAGCTGCGACACAGACTGGCCGGCTAAATAGAGTCGCACGTCTCGTCTCCGTCGGTCGCTCTCCTAGTCAGCACGAGAGCATCTGAACCGATGGCATTCGCGTTCTATCCTTATCCTGAGTACTGCCAACGAACTTTCTGCAAGGGCCTCATTCATAGCCCTGAGCTCAGCCGTCGTCCCGGAGATCTTGGAAATCGCGGAACCAATAACCTGCCGCATGCACGTGCAAGGCATTGCAGGGGCGCCCATGGAATGTCTCACAGAATCCCAAACAACACAAACACACCAGAATACTTAAGGGCCTCGGGCCCATATTGGTCTATTCTGGAAACTCTTCGTGGAGGATCCTCTTTGGGATCCGATGAATGTTGGCCCCATTCTCCGAAATTCCCTGCGTTTGCCAAGTGGCGACCAGGGTCAGCACCGAAATCAAGATGTCGAAGCCCCACTCAACCCCACTTCCAGCATACATTTCCTTAGCACAACATGATGTGCAACACGAGTTACCTTAAGGGTCCATATGCCTATAGTATATACTTGGGCCCTAAAGCTAGTATATGGGAAGCCCTTTAAAGCTCCCAAGTATGCGAAATGAGTACATGAACCCTTAGGGTTACAGTACAAGTTACAGTACGCGCACTTCTCGAGGATGCCTGGGTGCAAGCTACAGTCAGGAGCTGCCGGGCGTGCGCACAAGTAAACTTCCACGTCATGGTTTAGGGTTTAGGGTTTAGGGTTTAGGGTTTAGGGGATCCTCACCCTACAGCCCTAAACCCTCTACCGGGCCCTAAAGCCTCAGCCCATACGCTGGAGGGGATATCTGATGTTACTCCAGCGATACCCTGACTGGCAGTCCCTCCCCAAGTTGTCGAAATCACCTGCAAGGTTTGAACGGACTCTATTTAAACTGCAGGTACGTGGGGGTGATCAGGCCCGTACCAGAGCATCATCACCATACCCGGGTCCATGTACCCATATGGTATATACGTGAGGCTTTAAGAGGTTCCCATATAGTAGCTGCAGGGCCCAAGTATATACTATGCAGGTACCCGGGCCCTTAGGGATAGAGCTCTGTTTGAGACACGTGCCGTCCCCTCCCTGCAATTGAAAACTGTCTCTAAGGCAGGCACAGGAGGAGACGGGGAATTCATGATCCAGCGGAGCGAATGCATGTACCTCAGGGACCAGATGAAACCCCCAGAACTGGGGTCATATGCACTGTACTGCTGTATTCCCTAAATCCCTCAACCCCTAGCCCTAAACCCTAAACCCTAAACTCCAAACCCTTCGAGGGTTCATTGGGGACCCCAAGGTGCTGGAGCCAGCCAGGCACCAGGTGCGCTGCCGCTGCTGTCTCAGCCTCCGTGGCGTTCGCAGTGCCGGGGTCCTGGAAAACAGAGGGTTTAGGGTTTAGGGTTTAGGGTTTCGGGTTTAGTACCCTAAACCCTAAGCTTCCTTGTTTCCTCATTCCCTACTAAGAGCCCGTAAGGCAAGCAGCCAAGACCTTCATTGGCCAGCAGATATAATAATAAATAATAATCATAATCATAATAATAGTAATAATAATAACAATAAAAAATTAATAATGAGATTCGGCTGTCATGCCAAGCATCCCATCTCACTGCGATCTCTGCCATCTCTACCCAGCTCGGGTTCGGAAGCTCCGGGCCCAAGTTCATGCCAATGTAAAACCAGGTGCAGGTCAAGAAATGCGCCGTCATTAGCCTTGCACTGCTTCTTGTGGGTCGCTGTTGAGAAAACACGAGTTTTTTGCGGCCCCCTTGACGACTAGAGTAAGTATATATAGAACCAAAAACAACAAATATGTCCAGCACTTCCGGCCCGTGGCATCATGACGGCTGTCTTTGTGATGGCAACAACCAGCGTCACCCATTGCCGCCCAGCTGACGCTGCGCTTTCTTCGATCATTGTGTTCAGCTTGGACAGCTTCACAATGCGGATGAGGCGGACGACCCGGAGGATGCGAACAAAACGCAGCAAGACTACATCTGCGGCCATCATGAGGTAGCTATAGTCCAGACTCAGCACGAACAGGTCGAATATCCTTGCGTGCAGAAGGCGTGTGCATCGGCAAAAGTCGACGGATTTTTCAGTAGCGCCTACAAGTGCCACCACCGCGCGATCCAACAACCAGGAAGTTTAGGGTTTAGGGTGTAGGGTAACCCTCAAATGCTCTTGAGCACGGGGTCATCCAGCTCCGCGCATACTGGCACATGATGCTTGGGCGGCGCAGGACCAATCTGCCTGGGCCAGTATATGGCTTGTCCACAGCAAAATTTCCACGCTCACCTCTGCCTTTTGCCTAAACCCTAAACCCTAAACCCTAAACCCTAAACCCTAAACCCTAAACCCTAAACCCTAAACCCTAAACCCTAAACCCTAAACCCTAAACCCTAAACCCTAAACCCTAAACCCAACCAAAACAAGAGTTCCAAGTGGCCTCGAAGGTAGACTGCCGTGTTCAGGTTCACGGGCAGATCTAAGGACCAGAAGATGAGGCCTTGGGGTTTAACTGTTCATAGGATCTGGGGGTTTCCGAAAATCGGGGCACCCTTTTTTGTTGGGTTCCTTTAAAGGGAGTATAGTATTTTGGGGGTATTTAAGGGGTATTTCGATTTTCGGAAATCCCCATTTAGGGCTTTAAGAGTGGCCCTTCTTTCTGAGCAAAATCTTAGCGGAGTGTATTCGACTGCCTACCGCAAATGTGTGTGTGTGTGTGTGTGTGTGTGTGTGTGTGTGCGCGCGCGTGCGCGTCGTGTTTTCGATGTCGCTCACAGAGCCCTAACCTAGCCCCCAATCCTAAACCCTGAGCCCTCAGCCCTCAGCCCTAAGCCTAAACCCTAAACCCTAAACCCCAATTCTCGCTGCTGCCAACCCGGGGGCTAGTGTAGAAAGTGATGGAGGTGTAGATGCCGCCAATACCCTCATCAGTCATGGCAAAGTCCTCACGTGGAAGGAGGCAAAATGGATGTTGACAAATCTGTTTAGGGTCTAGGGTTTAGGGTTTGGGGTTAAGGGTTCCAGGGGGGCGAAGTGGGCAGGCTGGCACATGTGGCACACAACCGATGCTTGTGACAATTGCGACACAGGGGTGGGGGGGGGGGGGGGTTGGGGTTTAGGGTTCAAGGTTTAGGGTTCAGGGTTGGTTTGCTGGGTTCGGTTGTGCATGGCCTCCTGAACCCCAGACACTGGAGACTCAGTATCAGCAAACCCTCAACAATCCCTAACGACAGCAAGCTGCAGAAGAGGTAGACTTTCATGAGTTCTCAACGTTAGCACCTGGAAACAGACAGAAAAATCACTCTGTAGCTTTGCCGGCGCAGTCTACCCAAACCCTAAACCCTAAACCCTGAACCCTAAACCCTAACCCCTAAACCACAATCTGCTGCCCAGCATCCCATGCAAGAGCCATGGGGAGCAAAATGCTGTCGTTCAAGAGAAGCGCCAAAGCGAAGAGGTCCCAGCAAAGCTTGAACATGCCTTTTGGGGTTTTGGTTTTCGGGTTTATGGGGGTTAGGGAGGTTCATGGGCACTTATAACCCCAGGGTTTAGGGCTTAGGGCTTAGGGATATAAACCTACTTCTCACCGACTTAACGAACCTTGGAGCCCCGGAGCTCGTGCAGCGAAACAGGGGAAGAATCCGTATAGAACCGCAAACCCTAACCTTGGGATGTTCCCATTGTAGGGTTTCGAGGAGGTTTAGGGTTTAGGGTTCAGGGTTTAGGGGGATGGCTCCCCTTATACTCACAGTCCTTAGTAGGGATTAGAGTACCCCCCCCCATGACAGTCCCTATTAAGGACTGTTCGTAGAAGGGGGAACAAAATCCTACATTGTTGGGTGTTCAAGCGGAGTAGAGGTTGAGGATTGCATGGCCAAAGGGTTTAGGGTACGTACCTACAGTAGGCATATATACTCAGGCCCCAAATACAGGAGCCCTACTAATTCCTTAAGAACCCCCCGAAAAATAGACACCATTCTTCCTTAAAAGGGTCATATAATTAGGGATTATTCTCGTTCATTTTGTTGGGAGGGTTTTAAGCAAGTGGCAGTTTTTGAGGCAAACCCTAAACCTGGACCCAAGTATAGGTACGCGGACCCATAGGGTACATCAAGCCGTCCTCCGGGGTATCAGACCTTCTGGGTTTGCTAAGTCTCCAATTCGCAAGGACAAGTCTCGCAGCGAATCTTCTACTTGGTGCTCCGTACTCTGCCAGTAGCGCGACGAAGGCATGCGAGTCAAGCTAGTGCATGGTCGCTGCAGCCACATGCTCTGAATGGTCCCTTGAGTTTTATCTAAGAAGTTGAAATAAACGAAAGAACATGCATAACCTTAACAGTGTGCTGTCCCTTTTCAAATATCTCAATACGCCATTTAAGTACTCTGTATTACAACAAGATGCCCCCGAATCCGAGATGGAGCATGACTCAGACTTGGCTGCACTCAGGAGGGTAGCTAAAAATTAAACTTTTAGCTGCCTTATTCAGAAACCCAATAAACCCAAAAAAGGTAAGGATCTAAAGTTACAGTAAAGTACCACAAAAGACTCAGAGTGCCCCCTTTGCACCCAAAACAGCCTTGAGGGTGGAGAACAGGAACTCTGGCGGACACGTTGATCGCTGCCAGGTCGTCCTTTGTGGCCGTGCGCGACCGGAAGCCGGATTTGGCCTGCGCAGCAGCGCGCAGCAGCGCGCAGCAGCGCGCAGCAGCGCAGGGTTTAGGGTTTATGTTTAGGGTTTAGGGTTTAGGGTTTAGGGTTTAGGGTTTAGGGTTTAGGGTTTAGGGTTTAGGGTTTAGGGTTGAGTTCATCTGTTTGCCACCTGCCCCGCTGACGTCTCGGAGACCCTGAAGGGCCCATGCTGGGGAGAACATTACAGGAGTGCCACTAAACTCAGCAGAAAGCCCCAGGTCGTGTCATCCGGGTGGACTGTCTAAAGGAAGAAACTGCACAGCTCCAGCACATGGGGGTTTCGACTCACGCATTCGCCAAGGGTTTAGGGTTTAGGGTTTAGGGTTTCAAGCCAGCACAGAATGCATGATAAGCAGGCCTTGTTGGCATTGGGCCTCTGTCTGTTGCTCTGGGCATCCTGTGAGGTGGCTTGTGTTGACCTCAGAGTTAGGGTTTAGGATTTAGGGTTTAGGGTTAGGGTTTAGGGTTTCAGGGTGGCATGCAACAAACTCAGTAGCTGCTGTCCTGGCATAGCAAAGCCAGCCAGCGGCAAACTGGCAAAACCTGCAACTGATGCTGTCGTCGCCCCATATCTCTGGTCGCTCGCTCGTCTTGGTGCTGGGCTTCGATGTTTTGGGGCCCCAAACGGTACATGAACCCTATAATCGCATCGACCCGCTCTCAGCGCATCTCCACCTGAGGTGTCCTTCCAGCAGTTAGCGTGGCAAACCTCACTCGGTCCGTTCTCTTCCTGCGGATTCATGGTGGCAGTAACGCGGGCCTGTTTGCCGCCTTTGCGTAACAAGATCTCGATTCAAAGGGCAGCATGTAGCGGCTGTTGCTTTGCCTTACGCGTGCAAGGTTGTCCACAGTTGTTTAGAGCTTTCGATCGAGTAGAGTAAACTCAACACGCACTCGTCCATCACTGCTGACGTGGCCGGAGGCTCATCCTAACAAAGCACTGCAGCTGAAAGCGTGCAGTGGTCATGGCACGAATGCGTGCAATGATCTTGACGCATCCAGATCCCTTCTTGGGGACTTCGTCGTGTGGCGAGAAGAGTGAAACCCCTTTCGATTCCTGACTCCTTCACCCGCCACATCTTGAGGTTGGCTCAGTCCCTTCTCTCAAATCCACAAGGATGGGTACCTATCCGGCCCTTCAATCGCGACGAACAGTTGATCACTGCCCGAGGCAATGGCATCCATCAACACCTTGAACAACTGCCTCTTCAACGGGTGACCAAGGAAAACCTTGCACTGTAGTAGAATACCTTCAAAAAAGCCTTTGTTTTGTAGGTAACCTAAGAATCCTATAAGGGGCTTTATGCACGTGCCCTCACAAGCCATATGCACACGTGCGAAGCCCTAAGCCCTATAAACCCCTGTTGCATCCGGGCCTAAACCCTTCACCCCTTCTGCCCTGAACCCTAGAGCTTCACTAAAACCCTACCCTTTTGGTGCATGCGTAATCTGAGTCATGCTGGTTGGCGAGGGTCTGATGGAGGGCAGAAGGCTTCGCCTGGGTTCCGGCCTGCTTGCGCATCATTGATGTACTGCGCTTCATTCACCACAAACAAATCTGATGTTGTAAGAGAATATGCACCAGCAAGACTAACCCTAAACCCTAAACCCTCAACCCTAAACAGGCAGAATGCCCACCAAGCTGCAACTCCATCCACCGGCCATGCAGTCGGAGCTCCCGGCCACTCCCACCTATACCGAGCTTGGCTCTCGGCTTTAGGCTTTAGGCTTTAGGCTTTAGGGTTTAGGGTTTCGGGTTTAGGGTCAGGGGCTGTTCCTTCGGGATTATAGTTTTTTCCAAAAAATCGAAAATTATTCCCAAGTACCCCGAAGCGACCAGACTGGACGTTGCTGACCCGCCGAAAGCGAGGCTGGGAAGCAGCCTGTTTAGGGTTTAGGGTTTAGGGTTTAGGGTTTAGGGTTTAGGGTTTAGGGTTTAGGGTTCAGGGTTCAGGGTTTAGGGTTTAGGGTTTAGGGTCTTTGAAGCGGGGTAGGTTTGGGGGGGGGCCCTGCAAAAATCAAAGCTTTCTGGCTGCATAGGGGTTATGTAGGGGGATTTAGAATTAAAGAAGTCGAAGCACTGGCATCTTCGTCTGGCTTGCGGTTTGGGATACAACTCCTGTGTTTCTTTGGTTGGGTTCAAGGTTTAGGGTTTAGGGTTTAGGGTTTTATGGTAGTGCTCAACCTGCCAGTTCATCCCTAAACCCTAAACCCTATACACCCTACACCCTAAACCCTACACCCTAACCCTACACCGACAACCCTAAACCCTAACCGTTGCCTGCTTGCTCTTCCGCTTCTGCAGGTTGTGCTGGTGCAAGAGGAGTCCAGGAGGATCAGCGACCGTGAGTGTGGTCACACGGGCGCTCCTCTTGGAGGGTGTCTCTGGTACCTCCTGCCCAAGCGAGTCCTTAGGGCAGCCATAACAGGCTCACTTCCTGACATTTTGTGAAATCGCTAAACCCTAAACCCCAAACCCTAAACCCCAAACCCCAAACCCCAAGCCCCAAACCCCAAACCCTCAACCCGACACCCGCGAGATGCAAGCCGGGCGTCTCCATTCACCACCCGGGCGTCTCCATCCACCACGACCCGAATCGAAGCCAGCTGCTGACTTATCACGCTGAGTGACTCGGTGGCGGTCTTCAGCTCCCGTTCAGCTCGTTCAAGGGCATCGGACGCCTGCATACTCAGGGTTTAGAGGGTTTAGGGTTTATAGTAGGGTTTATGGTAGGGTTTATAGGGCTTGTAGGGTTTATAAAGGGTTTGCGATTTTAGGGGTACCTCATTGGGGTCCTGACAATAATGGGATCCTACGATTGGGGGGGGTCTAGATAAGGGGTCCCTTATTATCGTAAACCCTCTCTTGAGCTCCCTCTTTCATTTGCCCCCCTTTTTAGAGTCTTAGGGGTGGCTTTGGTAAGCGGTTGCCCCCCCCCCCCCCCCCCCCCAAAAAAAAAAAAGGGTGTGAGGGTTTAGGGTGAAAAACCCTAAACCCTTTTTTGGGCCCGGAGCTCTACCCTAAACCCTAAACCCTAAACCCTAAACCCTAAACCCTGCGCTTTTAAGGGAGCTTCGGGACTTAGCTCACACGTGGTCGCGGCCTCCGCAGCCTGTCTGGCCGGTGCCGGGATGTGCGCGGGCACGGGCATGGCTCATGGGGCCTGCAAGCCCTCAACGTAGAAGCTTCCAGGGATATGAAGGTTAATATTCATTGTAGTATTAACATTAATACTGTTGGTATTATTCTTCTTATTATTATTTCCTGTGTGCTGTTCTGCCATGGCTGAAGGACGACGTCCGTTTGTCTTGCTCTGTGCGATGAGGTCTGTCCAATTCCGGCATTCAGCTGAGTCGTTGAGTCATGCGGTTGAGATTCGGCTGAGATGCTCTACTGCATGGGCTTCGAGCAAGGTGAAGATCGACCAGACTGCTTCGTCCATCTGCACTTCTCTGCACATGGGGGTTTGCGAGACTAATGGGGCCCTTAATATAAACCCTTGAATAGTCGGATTCCCTTATACCCAGGACCCTAATAAGGTACCTCCTGATTCTACTATTTGCTCAAGAACCCCAAAGAATTAAACAAAAAAAGCAATAACCAATAATCCCTTTATCACCCTTCATAAGGAAGAATATATTTTCGGGGTTCTTAAGCAATAGCAGGGATTTCGGAAACCCCCCACATGCTAGACTTGCACCAAGAGATGGAGGATGCGTTGTCTTGCTGTTCACTGCCCAACCCCTTCCGTGGCTTATACCCTACACCTAAAGAACGGCAGACACCTTTTTTGTCACCGTTCAGGGGCTTTTTCATGACAAGCAAAGCCCTAAACCCTAAACCCTAAAACCCTAAAACCCTAAAACCCTAAACCCTAAACCCTAAACCCTAAACCCTAAACCCTAAACCAAGATCCAATATGCCCAAGACACAGGTGTCAAGCCGCACTTCCCTTCATGGCTGGGGCTGGCACTGGGCTCGAACAGGCTGAACCTCTGGCAGAATCGGTTTAGGGTTTAGGGTTTAGGGTTTAGGGTTTAGGGTTTAGGGTTTAGGGTTTAGCAAGCAGTCCCTGGTGCCCAGAGGAAAACGTAGCTTGTCAATCTGAATTTCAGAGACTGGCACAGAACACTCTTGAACCTTCTGACGTACAACATGCATATCCCTGGGGTGATCCAAGGGTCAGGATATTCATGTTCCCGGCATCAACAGTCCGGGCCTTGAAACGTACTGAAACTTCAGACTCGGGTCGCGATGCCGATTTGTATGCTCATGTATTGCTCTCCCCTCCCCTGCTGCCCCGTAAGTAGCAGCCGGCATCTGAGAAGCCTCTACGCATCCTCTATGCCGGGGAGAGTCCGGCCACTCCAGCTGTCAGTGTGCGAAAGCCCAGCAAGCACTCGATGCAAACACTCCTGCCCCACCTTCGCCAAAACCTTGAAGCCTCTGGTCGGCAGCTGATACCTGCCATGTGGATACCGGTGCAGGGTGCACCTCTGTGGCTTTCAGGTTTCAAGAGCCAGAAGATTCAGACGACCTCAAGCTGAAACAGCCAAAGCGCAGCCACCCAAATTCCCAGCATCCAAGTCGTCTCACCAAAGGGCCCCGCGCCGATCTTGAATCATCTGCCAGGCTTCCGCACCATGCCGGTTGGCCAGATAGGGGTCAACAACAGCAAAACAAAAGGTCCGTGGCCCATCTGGGCATTCCCCCAAACAGGGGTACCCCTTTCCCTAAACCCTAAACCCTAAACCCTAAACCCTAAACCCTAAACCCTAAACCCACCCAAAATAGAATAGAATCCCCTTAAAGGGACCCCCAAAGGTAGCCCCTCGTTTTGACACAGCAAACCAGCTCACATCTTCCACATGAACTCCCAGATAGGTCAGACAAAAGCTCGGAGCACTCAGAAAAGAGGGTCTCTTAGGGTTTATAGGGCTTAGGGTTAGGGTTTAGGGTATGTTTAGGCTTTAGGGTTGAGGGCTCTAAGGGCTGAACGGGTGAACAAAGTTTGAAGCGAAGGGAAGCAGCGCCGGTGCTGCGAGCTGGCGTCGCCCACTTCGCCGTTCTGCCTGTACATGGGCCTCAGACGCATCTAAGGCTTTTTTGAACCTGAAAAAGAACTCTAAAGACCCTAAATAAATGGGTTTTTAGACGATAAAAAAAACCTAAAGACCCTAAATGGGATTTTTAACGATGACAAACCCTAACAACCCAAAATGGGGCTTCTTAAAGTTAAAAAAACCCTAACTCCGTTCTTCTCGAAGTCTCCCCGCCCCCTCCTTTTCCCCCGTCCGTTGAGGTTCCCAGTCTAAGAACCCAGGCGGGGTCATGAACCCAGAGGGTCCATTTTATGGGTTTAGGGTTTAGGGGTTAGGGTTTAGGGTTTAGGGTTTAGGCTACCATTCTGGAATTCGGTACCCCAAAAGTCTATGTATAAGGGTTTTTGGGTACCTAACCCTAAACCCTAAACCCTAAATGCCATAATGGTACTACAAATGGACCCTCTGAGTAAGGTCGTCCTAAACTCAGGATGGCCTTTGAACACCCTCTGAGAATACTTCTGAATATGATCCTCTTAAATCCCAATAAGGGCAAATAAAAATATTCCAAGGGCACCTAGAAACCCTAAACCCTAAACCCTAAACCCCTGGGAGTTCACGTCCGAGAACCGCACACTCGATCGATGCGCTGCACCGGCTTCGGCTCCTTCGGAGCCTGGCGCAACCCCTACTTGAGGGTTCATTGGGTACAGGTTTAGGGTTTAGGGTTTAGGGTTTAGGGTTTGGGGTTTGGGGTTTGGGGTTTGGGGTTTAGGGTTTAGGGTTTAGGGCTACTTGAAGGTTCATGGGTAGTTATAACTGGGGTTATAAGTAGGGTAACTATTCTTATAGCTGGCTAGAACCTTACTTAGGGACTTAGGGCTACTTGCAACTACACATGAACCTCCAAGTAGAAAGCCCGAGGCCCCTGCTTTAATACGGAATATCGCTCAGAACTAGCACGGCTTCACAGTTTCGGGTCTATATTGCTTAACTAGGGGGTATTGACACTTCGTGGGCTTCCTCGGGTACATCGTACTCAGGAGCCGGGTTGTTGTTTACTTCTGTTGTTATTCATCGTCGATGTTGTGGCTGTTAGCACTGGCCGTTGGCTGTTAGCCGCTGCCGTGTGTCGCTGGTTGGTTCCTTGTTTGGCTGGGGCTCGTTTGCGCCGCATGTTTGTTGGTTTGGTTGCTTGCTCCTACCCGCATACCTGCCACTTTGGTGCACTTAGAGAAAAGTGGCCTAAACCCTAAACCCTAAACCCTAAGCCCTAAACCCTAAACCACACCCCCAAGATCCCCAAGTTTTCAACCAAAACCCTTGGCTGCCCGTTCCGCACACGTGATAAACACTTGAAACAACAAACGCCCCGTACCCTCACTCATACTTCTGCCATTGGCCTTAAGCTTCTTCCACCAGTCTTGGCCATGTGCCATGCGATCATGCTCCAGTGCTCGCTCGGCAGCCGCCTTCTAGCAACATGCGTGCAGCTTTGCTAACAACTTCAAGGGGCCGAAGGAGGGACCCTTATAGGGGACCTTAGGGGTTGGTTAAGGGGTCACATGGGGGCTACTTGTCTACTCCTTAGAAACTGCTGTTGCCTGGAACTAAGCTGTTGCAGCTTTGCCACTGGCGGGTCGTGACCATGACCAAGCAACGCAACCTTTGTGGACATGTCTCCCGAACTCGCCCTGCCTCCGCTGCTGCTCGCGAAGCACTCTCATCCGCGGACCTCTCAAGCCCTAAAAAACACTTGTCCCCTGACGGTTGCGCCTTGGTTCCCAGAGAGTCCGATACCTTGGGGGGGTATTAAAACGCCTTTTAAGGACTGTAAGTATTTTAGGGGAACATCCCAACCGATTCCCCTTAAGGAAAGCACCCTTTCGGATTCGGAATAAAGGCCGGCATATTCATTGATTAAGGGGTACTTGAATTTTGGGCCTTGGCTGTCAAAAAGCTTGGCTCACTACACCGCACCAGAACCCCCCCCCCCCCCCCCCCCCCCCAGCCCCCAGCGGAACCTCTCAGCGGCGGCCACTTCCTTGACTGGCGCCGTCTTCTTAGACCTGCGCACGGAGAGCAAGGATGACATCGTTGATGTCTTCTTCACCGACCCAGGCAAACACCTAGTTGTCCAAGGTACGAAAGGTTGCCTTCTCTACAACTAAGTACAGGTTAACCTCTGAAAATTATAAGGGGCTTCTACTACCCCAAAAAGGTCAAAGGCTACCTACCCTAAACCCTAAACCCTAAGTTCCAGGCACTTGACAGCGCAATCGAGGCTCCTGGGGGGCTCCACCGGGGTCGCTGGGCTGCGTCGAGCTAGTGCAGGCTCAGGAGCCTCGGTCCATTCGGGTGGTACCATTAGGGGATAGGATTCGGGGGTACCCTTGGGGAAAAAAAACCCTCTCAATAAGAGAGCCACAAAAAAGGGCTAAGAAGGGTTCCCTTTGAAGGGTCCCCCCCCTTCTCCTTCCTAGGAATCAGGGGGACTGGCTGAGATGGTGTCATTTGGGATGCTCCCTTCCTTATACTAACAGCTCCTGAATGGTGGTTATAATAAGGGGGGGGGGGGGGGGTCCTATAATCCCTCTTAAGGACGACTGTTATATAGCTCCTGAATGGTGGTGATAGTAGGGAACACTAGAATCCCTCTGAAGGACTGTTAGTAGAAGGGGGGGGGTACTAGAATCCCTCTGAAGGACTGTTAGTAGAAGGCATCCCAAGGTGCAATGTCAAAGTCTTGCGGGTCATCGCGGCTCTTCTTGCAGCTGCTGGCGGGGAAACTCCGTTGGACGCATCTTCACTTGCTTAGTAGCCCAGTAACCATATCATCATAAGGGCACCCTTTTTTTGGTTGGTTACTTTTATAAGGGAACCAGAACCAAAACCCAAAAAAAGGGAAATGGGTCTACCACTGGGCTACCAAGCTTGATAGCAGTCTGTACAGCCCGTAAAGCATGCACCCTTGTGCCCCACACAGTCGTCGCTTTGACGCCTGCGCTTAAGGCACTCTACACAGATGCGCTCTCGCACGGCTTGCTCAGCTTAGGCATCCTTGAACTCGAAGCCTGGAAGAAGGCGGCACTCGCAGTTGCCTCGGTATAAGGCTATAGCTGCTCCCCACGCATCCACCGTCCGATGACAGCTGTGAAGGTGGTCGCAATGCGCGAACGTGTCTTTCAAGGGGGTGCTACCTTGGACCCCTCGGGTTGCCTTAGGGATGTAAGGGCCATATCAAACCTCTCAGGGGTACATCCTTAGGGGTCCCTTGAGAACGTGTCTTGCCCTTCAGTCGAAGCGCTAAGCCACCATCCTTTGCGGATTTTGCCAGACGCCTTCTTCCTTGGCCAGAACTTTGATTCGAGGACTCTGATTTTGAGCTTTGTGGGCCCAAAGCCTAAGGGTAAGCTGCCAGGCACCACAAGACGCGAGCACGTGTAAAGTTGAAGATGTCTGGCCAAAGGCCCCTAAAGAACGAGAGCACTTTCGAGCTACCTTGTTATGGCCTCTCACACTGCCTCAGAGTTTAGGGTTTAACTCTAAACAAGCTACCCCTGAACAGACGGGGGGAAAGTAGAGAGAACAAAAACCATGCTCAAGATGCCACCCCACCGGGGGGCATCTAGTCGAACTGGCACGCGTGCCCTGGCGCGCCGTGCTTCACATGCAGCCTACAAAGCCATGGCACATTAGAGCCTCGACTGCCCGCGTGCGAATGCGCACACACGCCACTTATGTGCGATCCCGAGGATGCAGAGCAATCTATCGTCTGCACCCGGGAACCCACAACCCATTGCCCACCCTAAACCCTAAACCCTAAACCCCAAACCCTAAACTCTAAACCCAAGATCCGAGGCTCTCCTTCAAGCCCATCTGCTCTGTCAGCTCCCCAATTAGGTCGCAGTGTGCGACGACGACCTCGCTGTGTCTTTTGACCATGTTTCTTGCAGGATTTAGGGTTTAGGGTTTAGGGTTTGGATTACAAATTTCCGCATCTCTGGTGGATGACTTCAGGCAACGTCGGACGTCACTCTCTGACTCGTCTCTGCGTTGCTGCTCACGGTACCCAGAAGTGGCCTGATTTCGTAGGCCGTTTTTCTGTGAGTGCATTGTGCCACTGCAGATGGCAGGTGGACGTTTCGAGGCACTCCGTTTGTAACCCAGAATTCTGGGAGGATCCAAAAAATAGATCCCCTTAAGGGTTCCTAAAAATCACCCAAGGGTAGTATAGGGTACTATTTTGGGGTTCTATGTTTTTGGACTCTCCCAGGGGAGCTTTAAGATAGTTTCTTTATGAAGTCTAAGGCTGCTGCGACTCGATCCTCCCGCACAGAGGCGAGCTTGCGCAGCAGCTCCGCCACGCGGGCTGGGAAAGCAGCCTCGTCCGCCTCTTCGAAGGCCTAAGGTACTGGGGTTTAGGGTTTAGGGTTTAGGGTTTAGGGTTTTTTTTTTTGCCACCCGCCTAGCTCGCCTCGTACCCTGAACGAACCGAAGTGCCACAGGACCACAGGACTCGTCTAAGCCAGGCCGCATCGGGATCATTCTGATACGCATCCCGCAAGGCATCGCCTGATGCATTGCAGGTGGATACCGGAGAATATGGGGGGCCTGTTTCTGGGCAGCTGCTTCGTAGCTTGAGGCTTTAAAGCGATGTCGGACAACCCAGTGTGGGGGGGGCATCAGGAAGGACATAGGAAGGGCATGGAAGGACCTCTTGTGCGTCCGACAGCCAAGAGGCCCTCTACAGGCACATCCCGATAGGCAGGCGGGATGGTCCACCACACCTGTCGGCATGTGAACCTACCTGCTTGAGTTTGGCTGGTAGGGATCATGCCCTCGCAAACTGGAGTAAGAACATACAGCGGTGCTTCAAGCAAGTCCTCTCCAGATTTCCCAGCGGCCTCGGGCAACGTGCTGAGTAGAGCTGCCAGGTGAGGGTAGGCACCGTGGAGTTGTCGAGGTGTAGAGCCCAGGTCATCACAGCCGGTCACCTCAACCAATGCGTTTCTAAGCCAAAAGCAAGCCTCGGGTGTGTCTTAAACGATTAAACTTTTCCAGACATTCGCAGAACGAATGCAGACCTTCCTGAAAAACGGGGCACTGAGCACTGGGAGGGTCTTTTGCTCGTTCTTAGCAGGGAATGAGGGAATTAGGGCCACATATATATATATATATATATAGATATAGATATGCTCTTTAAGGAAGCATATACAAATACATATATATATATATATATATATATACTCGTATAGAACCCGCCAGTCATTGAGCTGTGGCTGTCTGGGAGTTCGGACGACTTCACGAAGTTCCGGCCAGATCTCAAAGCGGGTGCCCTCCTCCACATGGAAGGCTTCCGGCCAAATTCCTGCCGAAACCACTCTTGAAACATGGAGTTGAGGGTTTAGGGGTTTAGGGTTTAGGGATGGAGTACGAGATTCTTTTCACACGAGAGATTGGGCACCGACAGCCAGAGAGCTTGGCAACCATCTCGTCAGGCATACTCATACGTGCCCCAAACAAGACAGTCATTTAGGGGTTCTACCTTGGACCCTTAAGGTTGTACCCTTGGGTTTTGGGGTCAATTTTCAAGGATCCCTATTAAGGGGAACCTTTAGGGGTACAACCTTAGGGGTAAGAGTCTTCATCCCCTTAAGTCATTCAAAACCGCCGAACAGCACCTATCCTGTTCCCGCCTGCCTGCGGCGGTGTCAAGGGCGCGACGCAGCGGTGAGCTCAGAAGCAACCAACCTTGGCCCCCATTATACCTTCACAACTCTTAACATAAAAGAAGACACAAAGAGAGAGAGAGAGAGAGAGAGGGAGAGAGAGAGATAGATATATATATATATATATACATATATACATACATATATGTAATTATGTCATATACGCACTGTTAAACTGAAGGTTCTCTTTCTTGAATGAGGGGTATTGGACCGTGGTGGGCTTTCTGAATTCGTGACACCTGATGGTTCGCCTTGCCTACTTGATACTTGGAGGCATGATGGCACAGCATGCTGCAGCAAGCCTCCGAGCACTGTGAACACAAAAACATAGCTGAAGAGGGTTCAGAGTTTGGGGTTTACGGACAATCAGCACATGCACAGTCGCCAGTACTCTTGCCGCACCGCATCATACATCAACAGATCTAAACCCCACCATGGAAGGATGATCGGGCCACCCAGCAACCGTTTGCCCAGACTACATCTCATCTTGATGCGCTGGAGATATCCAGAGCAAGCATTATGTGCTTCTGCCCTTGGAGAATGACATACACTGAGATGTATGAAAAGATTTTGACTTTATGAAAACCGCCCCCTCCCTTTGGGGGGAGCTGCGGCTTTTCAGCTCTAACTATATCCTGATGGGTTTAGGGTTTAGGGTTTAGGGTTTAGGGTTTAGGGTTTAGGGTTTAGGGTTTAGGGCGACACGATGAATCCACTGTTGCTGCGTTGGGGGGGAACCCAACCCTTGACTCACTGAGCACTCGTGCAGCCAAGCCTCCAGCGGTGCCCCCTGCTTCCTGAAACCAGATTCAGTTTAGGGTTTAGGGTTTAGGGTTTAGGGTTTAGGGTTTAGGGTTTAGGGTTCATTGCAATCATCCCAAAGAGAAAAAAGTCTAATCTTCGCTCTTGGGCCGTGTGTGGGCGGCAGTGGTGCTGCCAGCTCCCTGTACCCTCTTTAAGGGTTTAGGGTTTATGTAGGGTTTAGGGTTTAGGGCTAGGGCTTCAGATGCTTTGTGGCACCTCGCGGAGCTTTTGCAACTGGGGCCGCGCAGCTGCAGCCTGGCGAAAGCAACATGCCACCCCGGGGGTTCATCATGGGGGGGGGGGGCTGTAGCCCCGATGGTTGCAAGCATCTCTAGACCCTAAACCCAATTTTCTTACATCTCCCTAAACCCTAAACCCTAAACCCTAAACCCTAAACCCTAAACCCGAAACCCTAAACCCCAAACTAACATTCTACCTTCGAAACCCTAACCCTTGGGTCGGCTGCCTGGGGAAAAACGCCCTAAAAAGGGTTTTGAAAAGTACGGCAGTCTCGCGTTCGAAGAGTCGACGTATCAGGAATACAGGATAGGGATACACTGGGTTTAGGGTTATAGGCTTTTTTTCGCCACCTGCCGCGCTGACCTCTCGGACACGCTGGAGGGAACAAATCGGGGAAATCGTTACAGGCGTGCCACTAAGCTCAGCAGGGTTTAGGGTTCAGGGACCCCCCTAGACCCTCTCTCTCTAAATCCTAACCCTAAACCCCAAGTTGGCCAAGAAGGGCCCATCATTTTTTCAGCCAGCTCCGGGCATCGGAACTGTAACTTCAGAGTGAGCTCGAGCCTGCTGGTCATGGGCCCATCTTGGGTGCCCTCCGCTGTGTGGCTACAAGTGCAGTGGCACCCGCCGACTGCTTGAAGTTTGTTTTGGGACTGCTCTGGGAGCTTCTGGGACCCCAGGACCTTTCTGGCACTGCCCTAAGACTCTCCTGACTCCCCCGATTTCCTGCGACCTTTGGCGTGGGGTGGGAGAAAGTATTGGATGGCCCTCCACAATCGAGCCTGCTCCTGGCGCGGGTTTCGAGCCTAATCTGCATCCGAACCTTCACAGCATCTTCGCCATATTACAGCAAACCCTAAATCCTAAGCCCTAACAACTAACAACCCTAAACCCTAAACCCTAAACCCTAAACCCTAAACCCCCATTAAAATCCGAGCCATGAATCATGGACGGGACCTGGGCGCGGCCACGCTCTGTGAGCTTGGCATCTCGGAGGAACGGATCCTCCCCAGTCTCGCGCATGGCCTGCAGGATGAGGCTCTGTTGTTTAGGGCTTTTGGGGTTTAGGGTTTAGGATTTAGGGCTTAGGGTTGTTTTTAGGGTTTAAGTTGTTTTTTTGCTACCCGCACTGCACACACACCACCACGCCCGCTCTGCAGGGACTATTCGGTTTTTTCTTCGGTCATCGGCGAAGGGTTCAGGGTTGCATGCGTTTATACCCCCAATACGGACACACTGTGGGGCTTGTATGGAGTACAGCCGCGGAGCTGCCAAGGGTTTAGGCTTCATAGGGTTCGGGGGGGCAGATCTCATTGCTTATTGGGGGAGGGTCCTCCCCCTTGTCTCTTTTCCTTTTCTTTCAAAGGGCCCAGGAGCCTAAGAAGGCCCACATTGGCCTATCTGATTGTTATACACAGACATGCAGGACGTGAGGGTCTGTGATTTTTCCATGAACTCTCTTCTTCTTTTTGCTTCTTCTGCTTAAACTCTCTCTCTCTCTCCCTCTCTCTTCTTGTCGCCTGTTTTCTTTGCTGGTGCTGATTGGGAGGGAGGGGAGGGTGAGGATGAGCTTTCTGGTAGCCTTCCCCTTGTACTGCAGCATGCCCCCTCCTTGTTGTACTCGGACTCGCCGTGGCGTACGAAGATGATGGTCTTTGGAGCCATGACTGGCAGCTGCGCAGCGGAGCTACAGCAAAGGCTTCGAGCCCAAGAAAGATTTTGACGGTGGCTTTTTTGGGATGTTCCCCCCTTATACCAACAGTCCTGAATAGGGATTATAATCGGGGGTACTATAATCCCTATTAAGGACTGTTAGTAGAAGGGGGAACATCCCATCTACCCGAACTCTATACTACACTACGTAGTGCTTTCTGAAGAACCCCCCCAAAAATAGAAACACTCTTCCGTATAAGCGTCATATAGGGACTGCACGCTTGTGATTTTTGGCGGGTTCTTGAGCCAACAGCAGCATACTGAACCCAAGCCTTACCCTCTCTGTCCTTGTCAACTTAGCTCCTGGCGCGATATGGCGATGCTTGAACCGGAGGCGTCTCTACTTTCCTGCAAGGCCGCACGATGCCGCACGCATCACACCTCAAGAGCCCAACACCTACTGCTTTCTGCATGTAGGTTACAAAAAAAATAGAAAGGTTGCATAAACATAAATGTGTTCGTATATATGTAGTGTCATTACCTCTCCACAAGACTGCATCAGTTGCACAATTACATGACTGCACTGCTACATGATGGTATCGCTAAATGTAAACTAGTATGCGCATGCAGAATCAAGACCATCAACCGGGTACATGAACCCTAAAGGGGTTTATGGTCCTAACAGACCTTCATCAGGATGATCGTAGGAATTTTGGGGTTCAGTTGGCCCCCCAAGAAAGTCGCCTCTGCTCTGGCACTCGTGGCACTGGCGGCACTGGCACTGGTGGCACTGGCACTGGCGCCGCGGGGGAGACTCCATTCGGCATTGGGGGTGCGAACCTTGCAGGCCCAAGAGTTTAGGGTTTAGGGTTTAGGGTTTAGGGGTAAGAATCTTTAAGGCACCGACTTCCGAAGAAATGTTCAACATACATCTTGGGCATACCCTTCAACGAGATAAGGGCCTAAGGGGGTATGTTAAAGTCCTTCTTTTTATAGGTGAAGGGATATGGGTTTGGGGTATGTCGACTTATTCTTAGGGGGGTGGTACAAGTGGGGATGAGAACACTCCGATAATTTTGCAGCTGTCGTTTGGGGCCCCGCTGACATCGCCAAGCCCGGAACCCTAAACCCCGAACTTAGGGTTTTATGATTAGGTTTAGGGTTTAGGGTTTAGGGTTTAGAGTTTAGGGTTTAGGGTTTAGGGTTTAGGGTTTAGGGTTTAGGGTTTAGGGTTGCGGGGTTCTACGCCCGCTAGAGATGGCCAGAGCTGGGGCGAGCGGCTTCGCCAACATCGCCGCGGCCCGGGCGGTCTCTTCGGCCTGGGTCCAGGGACTCCTAAACCCCTTTAAGTAAGGAATATACCATAAGTAGGGCATATACCTTAAGTAAGGAATATGCCACAAGTAGGGCATATACCTTAAGTAAGGAATATACCTTAAGTAAGGCATATACCTTAAGGAAGGCATATACCTTAAGGAAGGAATGTACCTTAAATAAGGATGATACCTTAAGTCATAGGGTTCCGACTGTAATTTGAGGGATAGTCCTTGACTAAGGGCTTTTGGAGTTTCTGGGTGGGCTGGTCTTGGGGACTTCGCCACGTCCCACACCTCTCGGAACACGTCTACTCGCGACTTGCAGCGGCCTCTTTAGAACGTAAGCCTCAAGCCTCAAGCATCTCAAGTCAACCTGCTGAAGTCGTATCTTCAAAGATGCTCAGTCTATGGAGTGCATGTTCTCAGCTTGCGGACACAGCCCGCGAGAGCTTGAATGCTGGATGCTGCTTAACCCCATGCACCTTTGCACCTCTTCTGAGTGCCACGCTGCAAGAGCACCCAGCAGGTCAGGCTTCACCGCCTGCGGCGGTAAACGCAGCACACATGCGTAATGCTCCCATGTGTTGGAGGTGCGCAAATCCTAGATGGCGGGCTCTCTAGGTTGTGGTCGCACTACAGTACGGAACCGAAAATGTAGGGTACCCAACATCATTTAGAGCGAACCAGCTGAGGTCTTTTTTCAATAATCTGCACAGCGCGCTGTCCATGACAACGGGCCCTCCGCAGGTTGCAAAAATGTACCTGTTTTCTGCTTGGTGCAGTTGACAATCGGGGGTTTCCAAACATGGCTTTATAAAATTGCCTCCTCGCAGACCTCACAAATTACATAAAAGAAGGGACCCCCGAATGTTTTTTGGAAGCCGACCAATTGACGTGCATGTCTGCCAGCACCAGCTCCAGGCGATGCGCAACTGATCACTGAAAGCCTGCCCAATAATCACTCTTGGAAAGGTGTAGTGGTTGGCTTGACGACTGCCTGGTATCGGCTTGTGCTTCGAAAGCACTCCGTCTCCAGATGGTGCGAAACAGGTGCCAGCAGGATTCCCCAAGGTGGTCTTGAGATCCCTGCACCAAGGCACTTGATGGCATTGGAGGATCACAGCAATGAATCGCTCTTGCTGCTCTGTGAAGGTGCTTTTTCGGCTGCGCCCTTAACTCTAAGAAGAATTCAACATACACCAAGCCCATACCCCTTAACCTACAAAAGGAGAATCTAGGGAAGGACGTTAATATACCCATTAATTTCTTTTAAGGGTGTGCGTGTGTTGAATATTTCTTAAAATCAACTTAAGGATACTTAAATCGAGCCATCGGGTCCTCCCAAGCCACTGTTTCAAATTATGACGCGTGGCCCGCGCCAGTTCCCCGTTTCTGGATACGAACAGTCTCGTGTTGTATAGGATCCCATACTCTGGAATTCTGCCGATCTC